CCTCAAATATGGACACACTAATAACTAGGAGGGGCTCATAACACGATTGATAACTTGTTAACTTAAATGAAAATTTCGACCTTTTTACGCACAATTAGGAAATTATTAAAGGCGTCTCAAATATTATCAATCTGTATATGTTCAGCCGTAAAATCTTCACTCCAGTCTTTTTTTTTGAATTCTAGCTATTTTAATTGTATATAAATCTTCACTCTCATATCCTGATGCTTGCCTAGTTTATTACATTCTTACTTATAACATCTGACTTTCCTCTCCCCACAGTATCTTTCACCTTTGCTTCAGGCTTTTAAGTTCCAATAAAAGTCAAGGATTATCTGTTGCAATAATTGTGACATGAACCAGAAAGTCCACATACCACAGGAGTCGAGGTCATGCAGTGCTTCGCAGGTGTTCGCAAAAATCAACACGTTAATGGTTTGCCTATGGATTAACATAACCCGATTCCCCTGTACATAGAATCATACAATACAGAATAGGGTCTGCAGCCAGCGTCTGCACTGATAACATGGAAAACTACTAAACTGGTCCACTTTCCAGCACTTGGTCCATCGCCTTGAACCTTACTACATTTCATGTGCTCATCCAAGAACTTTTTAAAAGGCTGTAAGGTTTCCCACCTCGACCACCCTGCCAGGCAGTGCATTCCAGATTCCCACCAAACTCCGAGTAAAAAAAGTGTTTTCCTCAAATCACCCCTAAAACCTTCTGCCTTTCACCTTAAAATTATGCTCCTTTGTTAGTGACCCTTCAACAAAAGGGAATAGCTTCTTTCTATCCACCCTGTCCTTGCCTCTCAATCAGAACCCCACTCAGTCTTCTTTGCTCCAAAACGAAACCCAAGCTTTTTGTGCCTCTCTTCACAGCTAAACTGCTCCAGCCCAGGCAATATTCTGGTGAATCTCCTCAGCAACCCTCCACTACAAACAGGTCCTCCTCCACTGCCTCGGCACCGACCACATCAGACCCCACCAACAATGAAGTCGTCGTTCTTGAGATACCATCTTTCATTGCTGGGCCGATTCTCCTCACACCGCCAACTGTGCCAAACCCACATCTCTCACCCGTGGGCCCATCTCAATGTAAAGTTCCAACATGACCTCCCTGCTCTTATAATCTATGCCATGACTGATGAAGGCAAGGGTCCTGTTTGCCTTCTTGACTACCCTATGAACCAGTCCTGCCGCCTTCAGGGATCTGTGTACAAACGCCACAAGACAACCCTGTTCCTGAGTTTCCTGGTGTCCTACCACTCATTGAGTACTCTCTTGTCTTGTTACTTATTCCAAAGAGTAACTTTAATGTGACTGCATCAACCCACACAGAAAGTCTAAACTTACAGAGATGGTAGGAACTGCAGATGCTGGTGAATCCGAGACAAGGTGCAGGGCTGGATGAACACAGCAGGTCAAGCAGCATCATAGGAGCAGAGAGGCTGACGTTTCGGGCCTAGACCCTTCATCAGAAAAGGGGGAGGGGAAGGGGGTTCTGAAATAAATAGGGAGAGAATGGGAGGCGGATAGAAGATGGATAGAGAAGAGGATAGGTGGAGAGGAAACAAACAGGTCGAAGAGGCGGGGATGGGGCCAGTAAAGGATTTCACAAGTTTCAAAATCTCCCCTCCCCCTACCGCATCCCAAAACCAGTCCAGCTCGTCCCTGCCTCCCTAACCTGTTCTTCCTCCCACCTATCCCCTCCTCCCACCTCAAGCCGCACCTCCATCTCCTACCGACTAACCTCATCCCGCCCCCTTGACCTGTCTGTCCTCCCTGGACTGACCTATCCCCTCCCTAACTCCCCACCTACACTCACCTTTACTGGCCCCATCCCCGCCTCTTCGACCTGTTTGTTTCCTCTCCACCTATCCTTTTCTCTATCCCTCTTCTATCTGCCTCCCACTCTCTCCCTATTTATTTCAGAACCCCCTTCCCCTCCCCCATTTCTGATGAAGGGTCTAAGTCTAAACTTACGCCTGCTGAAAGCAGTGCGCTTTAAACCCTCAGCTGCTTTCATATATCCGCTGCTTGTACATAAACAGGCAACCAACAGCTTCTGAGGTGAAGTTGTTGCTTTTAAGATAGTACAGGTTACAACAATGTTGAAATATGGGTAATTTTTTTTTAAAACAACATGATTTCCTTGCAATAAATCAATGTTGACTTTCGATGAGAGGTTATTGTTATCCAGTTCTCCCTAGACCATACATCACAAATAATTTGGAAATGAAAGTATATGTAAAAGTGAAAATTTTTCACTGTTGGTCCTAGTGCCCAGAGTTTGCAGCTGTAATGATAGCAGAGCAAATCAGCATTTGCCCATTATTACTTCATTGAAACCAGCAGAAACATTCCAGCTACCATCAAACCAGGTAGGTAACATTAGTTGTGACTAGGAGCCCCCAAAGGCTAAGTGAATATTATCCATCCCCTGAATATACCAACCCCCGAGTATCACAGCTACTCCCCACTCCTCTTACTCCCTCACTGGAACAGCCTCCTGTACTGATCAATTTATCACCAAGCCTAGACTTTGTTCTCATGCAAACTTCAGTCATATCCCAGAGTTTGGAGTGTTGAAATTCACGTAAATCATGATAAAGTAACTGATCACTTGACTCTAACAACAGTAAAAGACAGCAGGTCTAGAATGAGCATGTAAAGAGAGAAGTCCTAAACACAGGGAGCGAGCTGTATTTGTTATTCTACTATGTACAGATATAAATACAGATGCATTACAGTGAATGAGTCGAAAAGACTTCGTGATAAAGGGCAAACAGTCTCAGGGACAGTACTTGCAGATACCCACATTACAGGATACTCCAGACCAGTACCACAATATGTAGGTAGCAGCATTAGCTTAAAGCACTGACCATTAATCAAACCTTAATAACTACCTAAGCAAGGGGGTGCAATTGTTTCCTGGGTCAAAATGTACAGATAATTTTATCCATCCCAGAGCGGATGGAAATCAGACTCTGGCTCAACATTTATGTCCCAAAGCTCCTGGAGCAGTAAATACTTACTAAATATGTTATTGCCTGGGAACATACTGCTGTGCTCAAACTCCAAAATGCTGAAGATGCAGGCACACTTGCTAACTTTATTTTTAAATTAGCACACCTCACTGGGGTAGCATACCTGAAGTCAAGCAACCCCCCATTCCAGGAGTGGTCACAAAAGTTAAAACAAAAATTATCAAAGTAAACAAAGTACTCAGTTTACTTGTTTGATAGACACAACTTAACCAAAAATACGGACCAGGTTTCTCGATGTAACAAGACTACTTTGTTATAAATGAATAGATTCTAACTACAGGTTAACAATTACGAACTGTGAACACCTATCTCTACTAGTTAACACTGTAAACCCTTTCTAAAAAGGACCTTACAAACATACAGACAAAATGTTAGTGTCACGTGTGGATGGAAGGAAATAAAACTGGGAAAACAGTTCCACAGCATCAGTCCTCAGAATTTGATGAGTGTTCCTTTTGTTTCCCCCAAGTCCTTCAGTTCTCTCAACCTTTCCATCAGGTTTGCTACTTCTTTGGAAGGACTGGTTTACAAATTATAAAAGTCTCTCACTTATTGGTTAAAACAGCAACAGAAGATTATAGAAAAAATTAGCATTCTTCAGTTACATATTTTAGTGGGGAGACACACACACACACACGCACACACAATCTGCCATTTCAACAGTCTGACGTCTTCTGCCACTATCATTCGCCAGCTTCCCACATGCCATTCAGATCGCTGTTGTCAGGCCGATGGCCTTTGGCATCCACTGCTAGTAACAATGCCACAAACCCATCAGCGACCTGTTGCCAGCCAAATCACACTTTGTTTCAACTCGCTGGTGTCAGGCCATCTACAAACAACTTCCCCTCTGCTTGAACAAATCAGTAATGTAAACATGATTTGTAGTGACTTTCAATAACTTATTTTTAAGAAGTGCAGCAATTTCTTCCATAATCCTCGATTGTAAAATAGCCCTTTTTCCATTTCAATCCACAATTAAAAGTACAGAATAAAAGATATGGTTTGTAACAAATAAAAATTAAGTCATAAATTAGTTTAAAATAAATTTAAAAAGGAATGTTTTCTTTCTCCCCACCACAGAATTCCCACTCACCACAATTCTCAACTTACCATTCTGTTTATGATGCACTCAGTGCTTTGATTTGTAATACCTCACCCTCATTTCCAAATCCTTCCATGGACTTGTCCCTCATTCTCCTGAATCTTCTCTAGCCGCAAAGACCTTCAAGATCGCTACGCTTCTCTAGTTCGGAACAATTGTGCATTCTCAATTATAAAATCGCTCTACCAAAGGTGGCAGTGTCTCTCAATGTCTCTGATTCCTCCCCACAGCTCTCTACTTCACACTACTCCTTTACAAAACTTCTGTAAACCCCTGGCCATTTTTTGGCCTTCTCGCTCATCATCTCCCACATGATTCAGTATAATATTGTGCCTTAAAAAGTTTGTGTGAAATGCTATGGGACTTTTCAATACATCACAGGAGCTGTATTTTTTTTTTGCTGCAGAATGTATGTTGAAGACAAGCGCATCCCCAATAGATCTCAATCCAGCTCCTACTGAGCACTGTACCTAACTCAGCATTAACTGGGATTCTTGAGATCCCATCTCAACTAGTGAGCAAAACAAATTAGATACAATGATAGTGTAGCAGCTTAGGTACATAGTTTACCAGGTTAGTGAGAAGTTTTGCTTTGAGTCACCAAAAGTCCAGGAAATTCAGGAGAAATTTCCATACCCAAAGAATGGCAAGAATGTGCAACATAGTAGCTGAGACAAGCAGTGATTCTCAAACGGAGGTCTGCAGTGACTTCATTAGCACTGATTTCTCTCAGCCCTGAATGCAAAAATCTGAACATATACATAGCACACTTTACAACAATCCTTTAGCAAAATAAAAGGATAACATAACAACCCAAAATAAAAAAGTCAAATAGATGCAAAATTGTTCACTGACCATCATTAATTTTTCTTTCAAAGATCAAAATTACAGGCTCAAGAAGCACAATTTTCAGATCCATAGCATCATTTCATAACACTCTTCCATATGCAGGTTAAACCGAACATGACAACTATAATCATTACAGGAAATATTTCAAGTCCCAATTCATTCCAAATAGTGCATTAGCTGATAAAATAAGTCAAGAGTTTCTGAGAGGTAAAATCAAATTGCAACATTTCAACTTCCCTTAAAAGATGGCCAAATGTATTTTGTTTCTAAAAAAAAAGTTGTCAGTAACAATCAGGCCAAAAGAATCTTACTGTATAGCACTCTTTTCATCCTGCACATACACCGTTTGTGAAATATAACCTTCTGGAGTGAGCAGGAGGGACATCCTCCTCCTAAAATACACAGAGATGCAACTTGCTCATTGGTTAGAAAAAGATTTTGTATACAAAAACAAAATAAGAACCAGTCTGTGTAAAGGTCACATCCCAATGGACATTGACCAAGACAGGTTTTTCAACGTTGTGAATCAAATCATCTTTCTCAAGACTCTATTCACCACTTTTCTGCTCCTGAAGACTTCCTTTACCATTTCCAGCGGATTGTTCCAGTTCCTGCTCATCTTGCCCATCTTTCATCTTAAGTTCCCTTGCATCTGATGGCTCCTTTGACTCTTGGCGACTATCATTCTCAGAGGGAAGAGCACAGATGTTTTTCTTCAATTTTCCTTCAATGTCATTTTTTGCCACTTCTTGCAAATTATATTTGCGAAAAAGTATATAGTCCTGGACGACGCTCACACAACAGACACCTTTGATTATTTCCACAATGATGGTATATTCGGCGTTGTTAAGGTCCACTTTGTTTTCAGGATTCAAATTTATTACTACCCCTGCAAAGGACAAGTTGAAAAAACTATTCATTCCAAATACACAAACCAAAAACAAAAATCAGCAATCAAGCTTTCCTCATGAGAGGCACATGGAGAGTTAAATAATATGAAAATAAATGCACAAGTGTATCTGTAGATTCATCTAGCGGCAGTAAACCTCACAGTAAATCACTCTGCTTCTTTACAGCAAGGGTAAATGCCAGCATTTAATTTTTCTAACCAACTAAAATGTTTTATTACTTCATTTCAAAATCTTTACTGCTTTACAATGGAACAATTGCATTGACAACATTCAAAATTAATTACAGGATAGGGTTTGATTAAACGTTTGTATCAGTATATTAAATTTGAAGCAAGACTAGTAAAGTACCCCAAAACCCCTGCCCTCCAAACATGTTTGGTGCCATTAATATTGAAAATATTTAGATGTGAAGGAAATTGGCACAATTGGATGCGTAGATCTAACAAAATGAAATGGATAGAGGCTTCAGTTCCACTCCACTCCACTCTATTTCTGATACAAACAACATGAAGATACTGCCTTTACTATGGTGTGTTGTGGTACAAAACACTCAGGAAATCAGAGTTGCTGAGGCATCATACACAAATACATCCATGTTGTAGCCTGGAGCTGTAGATAGTGATGATAGAACCCCCAACTTTCTTTGCACCACATGACTGATCAGGAATCTCTTCCACTTTTAGCACCTACCATTGTTAACCTACAAACCCTTCCAATACAAATCAATTTATTTGGACACGTTACAAATGCACCTTTCCTTGGCCATCAGGCCCTGGGGTCAGTCTTGACTTGGAGGCTGATGGCTCAGATGCAGGGACTCTACTGATTGCAGCACAAGAATCCAACTGAGGTAGGGGAGGAAAATAAGGAAAAACAGATGTAGAGAGCAAGGTTGGCTCATACTATGAACTGGTAGAAGGTTAGAAAGGGCAAAGCAGGCAAGGCCTACCAGCACGCTCCACCACTGCCTACTCCGCTATTAAAAGTCAAGCAAGACAGACAGACAAAGAAACAAGAATCATTTACAAGTGAAGAAAACAGTAGGGATTTATCCACAAAGCTGCTATAGCAGAATGATCTCTTTTTAAATTCAAAAATAAACCTACAATATCAATCATCCCTCTTTGAGACAAAGCACACATCTTGTCGATAACTTAGTTCCATCATTAGCATCCATTCACATGTAACCAAAAATACCTTCAGTATATGGAAATCATCATATCTACCTGCCAGAGCCCTGATGACATCATCTCTGCTCATATGACTATTGTTCCTAGCTTTATAAACGATCTGGAAAGTAGCCTTTTTTGGAGCTTTGAACCAGGGTTCCAGGAAAGTCTCAAAATACTTTGGGATCTCCTCCATGAAAGCCTTGCATGACCCTGACACTGGCAACATTCGCAGTATAGCTCGAGTCTTCTTCTTCTTGGTTACGTACAGATCCTTCAAAATGTAGTGTACTAATTTGTCAGGTTCTGTTTTGTAGAAAAAGAAACAAAAAAAACTAAGATTCCCAAGTAAGCAATTCAATTTTCACATCACAAATGCTAACAAGAGTTTTGTTGCAAGTCTGCGTAGGTACATGTCAATGAAACCACTTGCAAATCAAGTGTATGTCTTACATAAATGCACTATTTAAGCTGCTCATTCAAAATATCAGGGCAGGTGGATTAAGTTACTCAGATGCAACCTGTAACTGTTTTAGTAATTTGGTAGTATGGAATTTGCGTAGGGAAGAAAGGCAGATTTTGTCAAAGCTTTTTGTCTTGCACTTATCAGGACATTTCAAAAGAAAACACATTCAAGGATAAACAAACATTTATATTGCATGGGAGTGATAATTGATTAGCAAGTGGTCTCTGATTGAGAGGGGTTTGCATCCATTAATGCTGATTTCCAGTTAACAACCATGCTTTGTTAAATTTAAAAAAAAACAAACAAAACATAATTGCCGGAAGAGCTCGGCAAGTCTGGCAGCATCGGTGGAGAGAAATCAGAGTTAACATTTTGGGTACAGTCACTCTTCTTCAGAACGTCATAGTTCTGCTTTTTCTGCAACCCCCCGCCCCCAAACAAAGAGTACCCATGAAAAAGAAAAAGGGCATTATTCCTCCATGACTGACTTTTAATTTTTGACATGGTGGAAAACTCCACTCTTTTCCAACACCTCTGCTCGGTCAGTTCAGTGGGGCTCACCTCACTTAGTTCCACTCTGAGCTATCCAATCAGAGAGGTAGGAAATCCAACAACAGCTTTTGTCCCTCAACCCCACTGTGGCATGCCCAGTGCTCTCCAGTTCCTTTTTATTTATTCATGGTATGTGGAAGTCACTGGATATGCCCATCCCTTGCCTATTCCCATTTGACCTTGAAAAGGTGGCGGCAAGTTGCCTTGAAACTCTGCAGTCTTTGGGCTGTAAGCAAACCTGCAGTGCTATCAGGAACAGAGCTTCCCGTTATTGATCCTGCGCCAAAGGAAGAATGTCAATATCGGTTCATATATTCCTTAATAATATCATATTCAGACGTAGAATCAGCATCAACATACACTCTGACAACATCAAGCTCTACCTCTCCACGAGCTCTTCAAACACTATCTATTATCAATATGTTTATCTAATACGCCTTGTCAAAAGTGAGGCACAATTTACTCCAGTGAATTGCTGAAAGCCTGAAACCTAATTTTCAGTACCCCTCAAAAACGACAACCTCCACTACTGCCCAGCTGTATTCGTAACCTCTTGTTCTCACTAACCAAGTATCCATCCCTGATCCAGTCACCTGTTACAGCACCCACTTCTATGAAAAAGCACCACTTGGAAAAGTAGGAATTTATAACAATCATGGAGCAACTTAAACCAGTCAGGAGGCATCTTTGAATCTGCCTCTTTATTTTGTGTCATCACATCACAATACTTCAGATTTTCAAGAGCCCATTAAGCCACAGGGTGTTTGCTACAACTGCTCTATGTACAGCTCAGGAATTCTGAAGCTAACACTTAAGCAACACACAAATGCCATCTTCACTTGGTACTTCACAAAGTTGACATTACTTCCACAAATGGAATAGATGTAAATCCAGAACAAAAAAAAAGCACACATTACCAATGTTAAGAGTTCTGATGAAGACCACATTGTTGGCTCCACTGTCCAAAGCCTGGAATCGCCTGAGATGTTTTTGTGTTGATGTGCGGATCTGCTTTACTTCCTTCTCCAAAGCAGCTTCTGCATCATCATCATCATCATCCTCCTCATCCTCACTATTTGGTTCCTCTACAAACTGGGAAAAATATCAGCAGTATTACACCCAAAGAATTTGAATAGCAAGTTTTCATTTCGGAAATACTGCCTCAATACCTGCATGTTAACATTACCCATAACTACTGTCCCCCCGCCCTCAAAATTAAGTGCTAATTACAGGAATGAGTGCATCTGAATATGTTGTGTTTGTATGCTATAAACCACTCTAAAATTTGATAAATATTTTATTGCTTCCATTAACTTAGTCAACTCTGTACTACCATGTAACTACTGACATCCACATATGATGCAGTTACTAAAAGTGAAAGTCAAAATTTACATATCATCACAGCCAAAATTCATTTCATCAGACATGGAAGTATTCTTGCACCATATCAATTGGTCCCTAATAAAAAACAGAACTTAAAAACAATGATTTTAAAAGTGTCCTCTTTAGCAAGCCTGGAATACAGTGCACACATGACAAAATGGGTCACACTATACATCTAAAAGCAAAAATACAAAATTAGAAGAAAAACACTACTCAGGTGATCCTTAATGATTACTATGTTGTTTGTTAGAGATCTACTTACTCCCTTCTTTCTTCACTTTCTGACTGAAAATTAACTTAGGTTGCTTCAGAATTGCTCAGAAATAAAGCACTGGAAGAGGCAACTGTTCATGTTCAGTTGATAAATAAAAATGATAAAAGAGATTAAACAGTCCATCAGATTAATTAAGTTTGAGTTTGTTACAGTGGATACTTGATATAAAAATACATTTCTGTATTCAGTCTCGAATTCAGTATGGGTTATCACAATCAAAAAGGACATTGAACATGTTACGTTAAAAAGTTGTTAAATAAAAATAACTACTGTTATTCAGAGATAGTAAGAACTGCCGATGTTGGAGTCAGAGACAACACAGAGTGGAGCTGGAGGAGCACAGCAGGCTGGACAGCAGAAGAGCAGGAAAGTTGACATTTTGGGTCAGGACCCTTCTTCAGAAAAATTCAGATTTCTGAAGAAGCGTCTCGACCTGAAATGTCAACTTTCCTGCTCCTCTGATGCTGCCTGGCCAGCTGTGCTCCTCCAGCTCCACACTGTTATAACTACTGTTATTGTTGTGAAGAATTAGGAGATCAATGTTTTGATAGTAAGGAGCATGCAGGAAACCTCAGCAGAGTGAGACAAAGGCTGAGCTAGTCATTGACTCCACTGTTGGAAATTCAACTGTTCAACTGGTATATCATATCCAAATTCAGATTTTAAGAGTTATTGTCAGGGTAAGACAGTATCCTTTAAGTAAGCAAGATAGCCTAATTAAAGGAAATGGCTGTTTGACTCTGGCTGTTAGAATTCAAGCACTTGAATTCCTTTGTCTAAATGACATGTGGATCACTGTAACTAAACAGTTAACTCAACAGACCTTTATAATAAAGGGAAGTCATACACCCCAGAATAAGGAAGGAGCAAGGTCAGTGCGTACGAGACATCAGCAGCGTGAGGTGCTAACTGTACTATTGGAAATTGGAGGCAAAACAGGACAGACATACTTTGATTAGGAACAAAAACAATGTTGCTGAAAAAGCTCAGCAGGTCTGGCAGTATCCGTGAAGGAAAAAAACAGTGTTAACGTTTCAGGTACTTTGACTAGGGTTCATTGCAAGGAGCAAACTCTACAGAATGAGAGGCAAGTGGGAGAGGATGAAAGGTGTGGATTGAGAGGCCCACCTGCAGTGAGACTAGCGGCTCAGTGAGTGTCACAAACCAGTGCATGATGTGAGTGCAGGGAGAAAAGCTGATTATTGAGCAGCATTGACGAATATTTCTTGTCTTTTAAATTACAAGTAACATCTTCAATGGTTTTCACCTCTCAGAAATAAGTGCTTAAGTATTTGATTAGTGACTCTTTCCCCCGCAACTCTAGTTTTGAAATAACCACACAAGTGCCAGTATCCTGTCACCAAGTCACCCTTTATTTACATGTGTGCTGTACATGAGCTGTAATCAGCCCGCTCAAAGCCAGTCCCTAGACTGAGGAGACCTTCTCAATCTCCTGTTTATATCTGTCAGCCAGAGCTCCCTGGCTGGGCCAGGTTAACAACCCCAATCAACAATGTCAATCAATGAGATCCACCTGACCATAGTTCCAATCATTACAAGTTTATAAAATCAAAATATCATTTACATTGAAATGTAAAGTGCAAGGAATCGCAAGTATTTAATTTCATACTCACCTACATTTATACTCCATCTTCCAAATTTTGGCCTATCCACCCAACCTATCTATATTCTTTTGTAAAATTTCTTACTACTTCAGTGCTCTCCCATCTCTTTTAGTGCCATCTGCAAATTTGGTTCCAGTACTTTTCATTTCTGCATCCAAATCATTAAAATAGATTGTAAATAGTTGCGGTCCCAAGTACTAAACTCTGACACCCCACTAATTATTACCCGCCAACAAGAAAAAGATCCATTTATCCTGGTTCTGCCTCTTGTTGATTAGCCAATCCTCCATCCAGGCTAATATTACAACAGCCCTGTGTGATCTTACCTTGTGTATTAACCTTTTGTGTGGCATCTTGTCAAATGCCTTCTGAAAGCCCTGTATATCTACAGGCCCTCCACTGTCTACTTTGCTAGCTATAGCTTCGAAGACTCCAGCAAATTAGTCAAACACAATTTACCCTTCTTAAAACCGTGCTGACTCTCTGCTGGATTGTGTTTTGACTTTCCAAACGTCCTGTTACTACTTCCTTAATAATGGAGTCCACCCATTTCCCAAATGATAGATGTTAAAATAATATGTCTAGTTTCCTACTTTCTGAGCCCCTCCCTCTGTTATATTAGCACTTTTCCAATCTACTGGAAACTTTCCTGCATCCAGGGAATATTATAATCAATGCATCCACTATCTCTGCCACCTCCTTTCAAGACCTTAGGATGTGGGGCATCAGGCCTTGGGAACTAGTTTGCCTTAAACCCCATTTATTTCCTCAGTACTTTATCCCTAACGAGGACAATTGTTTTAAGTTTTTCCTTTCCTATAATCTCTGCATTACCTTTTACTATTGGGGTGGTTTCAGTGTTCTCCACTGTGAAAACTAAGCCAAAATATTGATTTAGTGTCTCCACCATTTGTCATAAAACCACAAGAAAATGGAAGAGGTGGAGGCTGTTCTATTCATTCAATAGGATAATGGCTGATCTGACACTCACGTCCGCTTTCCTGCTTGTCCCCATAACCCTTGAGTCACTTACTAATCAATAATCTTTCAGCCTTTAAATAGGTACAAAGACTCTGCTTCCACAGCTCTTGATGGCAAAGAGCTCCAAGGAATCTTAACCCTCTGAAGAAATTCCTCATCTCAGTCTTACAATGGCACCCCTTTATTCTGAGACTATGCCCTTTGCAGCTAGACTGTCGCATGAGAGGAAACATCCTCTTGGCACTTACCATGTCAAGCCCCTCAAAAATTAATTATTGAGTCCCCCAGTCTCATCCTCTAAGGGACTAACATTTATTTTAGCTATTCTCTCTTCCTTTTTCTCTATACATTTCGAAACTTTTGCTATCAACGTTTACATTTTATGCTCATTTTCTTCACATATTTCTTAATACTTTATAAGTCACTTTTTTTGGGTCTTTAAAAGTTCCCCAATCCTCTAAACTACCACTGATCTTTGCAATATGGTATGCCTTGGTTTTTACCCTTGTTCTTTTTAACTTTCTTGCTTACCCATGGATGATATCCACCCCCCTTCCCCTTTGTATTCTTTCCTTCTCTCTGGAATATATTTTGCTTGGGAGGCATTGAACATATCCTTAAAATGTCTGCCATTGTTCATCAGCTGACCTACCTTTTAATTTTTCTGCCCAATCCACTAGGGCTAGTTCTGTCCTCATGCCTATGTAAACACTTTTGTTCAACACCAGGAAATTAGTGTGGGACTCCAGTTGCTATTATCACTCTTCCTTAGAGGATCCTTTACTATGAAATCATAGATTAATCCCATCTCATGACAGAATACTAAATCCAAAATAGCCTGCTCCCTTGTTGGTTCGCAACATATTCCTCCAAAAAAACAAATTTCTATTACATTTTATGAATGCTCCCTCGAGGCTACACTTGCCAATTTGATTAATGCAGTCTATCTACATATTAAAATCAGTCATGATTATTGTACTTTTCTTGCAAGGCCCTGGTATTTCCTGGTTTAGATTGAGGCCTACTGTGGAACCACTGTTAGGGGACCTATAGATAACTCCCACCAGGGATCTCTTTCCCTTGCAATTTCTTATTTAAACCCAGACTGATTCTACACCTTGATCTCCAGTGCCAAAATCATTCTTAACCATAGCATTGCTCTCTTCACCTAATTAAGTTACACAACCTCCTGCAGTGCCATCTCATGGATCCTAATACCTGTCTCACTCGTAGTCATACCCTCCTGTTCCTGACCACTGACCAAATTTGAGGTAGTTAATCTAAAGGCTGTGATTACCTCCTGATTTACAGCATCCAGATATCTCATGCCTCACCCTGATGTGCCGCAGGGTTTGAAGCCAGACGTCAACACATTAGCTGAGCTGAACTTTCTCCAGTACCAACATTTTCTACATACATGGCCATTATGAACCACAATGGCTGCTACCAGTTCCCACACATTGTAGCTGCGACACATTGCCTGGTCCTGTATCTCTTTTTTTTTAAAAATTAGATTTTTTTAAAAAAATGAAATTGATCCCTCATGTTTTCAGCATCTCTCAGTGATACACTTTTTGTCTAACAGATTCTTGTGGCACAGTGATAGTGTCTCTACCTCTAGACTAGGAAACTCAGGTTCAAATCCCATCCTGCCCTAGAGGTGTAGCAATAACATCAGTGAACAGGTTGATTAGTCAGTATCTACACTTTGCTAATGAGACCCAAGCTCAAGTCCCACCTACTCCGGAACAGTGCATTAGCAACTCTGAACAGCTGGATTAGAAAATGTTTACACTTTTCTAATCCAACGAACCCAGCTGTTCAAGTCCCACCTGCTGCAGAGGTGTGTCATAACTTACCTGAGCTATTTAGGGACAGTCCCTGATGGTAGCTCCTTACCAGCCAATTAACACGTTTGATTTCCTGTTATGTCAGTCTGTTTCTATTCCTCCTACTTCAGTGCAGTCAGTTGCCAGCAGCCGAGTGCGTATTGATTCTGCTCTCAGGTAAATACAATCCTTGCTCGTTGCCTGTAATTTATATTCTCCCACTTGGTGCTACTGAACATAGGGAGATTTTGTTAAAATTATACAAGGCACTAATAAGATCACAACTGGGATAATGAACAGTTCTGAGCCCCTTTTCAAAAGAAAGATATACTAGCATTGAAAGCAGTCCAGATAAGGATTTTTAGCCTGATAGGAGGTATGGAGAGACTGTCTAAAATGGAAAGGTTGAGTCTATACTCACTGGAATTTAGAAGAATGAGGAAAATGTTTTCTTATGGAAACTTTTAATATCCTTAGGGTACTTGACAAGAGTAGATGTTACAAATTTGTTTCCCCTTGTGAGAGAGTATACAATAAAAGGGAATAATCTCAGAATAAGACGTAGCACATTTAAGGTAGGTGGAGAGGAATTTTTCTTTCAGTAATCAATCTGTGGATTTTTTTTTTTTTTTTTTTAAACTGAAGCCTGTTGAGGCTGTGTCATGAAGCATATTCCAGGCTGAAAGTCCTTTTGTTTTAAATCTGTAGGGGAATTGACAGTTATGGGGGAAAAGGCAGGAACACGGAGCTGAGGATTATCAGGTCAGCCGTGACATATTGAGATGGCAGAGCAGAATGGGCTAAATGGCCTACTTGGCTCCTATGGTCTAACAATTGACAATAGACTTGTAAACTTAAACTGTAATAAAGTGATCAGAACACACTCAAAATTCTAAACTTTAAAGATGCAACTTCTCTTATTCCTACTCATTCCATAAAATCTACGTTTTATCAAAGAAAACAATTAACTTCTGCTAGCTGTTTAAAGTTTCTCAAATACTGGAGTGAATTTAACAGAAGCAGTAAGTAGCCTAGAAACCTCAGGTAATCTACCCTCCCCAAATAAAACCCAACAGATTGCCTCCCAACGACAGTCAGGTTGGTGCTGGGTCTGACAGCCATCAGTCCAGAAGCATTTTAAACTCTATGTTGCAGGAAAGTTGTAGCCAGTTTTCATCTAACTTTTCCAGAAGCACAACCATCATGCTGATATGCCATCTCTCTCTCTCCACACAATAACAGCTCCTAATTTTAATGGTGGGGCTGATGATCTAAAAGGTGCTGAAGGGCCCTCTATATCTCCTACCAATTGGCCTTCCAACCTCCGGAGCCCACCTGCTGAGCTTAATTGAACAGTGAGCAATGTTTCCTTGGTCAGTCAGTTGGCTTGCTTTATTTTAAAAGCGTCACACCCACCAATGTGATGTGGGAGTCGAGACTACAAATGCAGCCAACTTCAAGGGCCATGCAAATCTAGTGACCACCTGACATGGATTTAACAGGAACAAAAACAAAGTTGCTGGAAAAGCTCAGCAGGTCTGGCACCATTTGTCTAGGAGAAAACAGAGTTAACGTTTTGGCTCGGGTGACCCTTCCTCAGAACTGGATTTAACAGGGCTGTCTTGTGTTGAGTGTTGAAAACACCACCACCTCAAACCCCTGTATGGGCACTAACCCCACTTCAGCTTGTCCAATTGTGCCTTACCACCTCCAACAAGTTACACCCTCTTTTTACCCCCCACCTATCTGTAAACCCCAAAAAGGTGGTCACTCTGCTCAACGCCAGCCTAAGGTCTCCACACTTTCGTGTGCGTTGGAATCTGTAGCTAATGTTAGTGGATTTGCAAAGAAGTTTCACTTTTTTTAAAAGCTCCAAATTAGACTGATGCCATATGCAAGCAACTCTAAACGCAGTTTCCCAGCGCTCGCTCGCTCTCTCCGTGTAAAACACAGAATCCGCAGGATCCGGCTGCACTGCACCTTCTCTGGGCCATACAGTTGGTCCGCATATTCGTTCAGAAGGCTGTACGCTTCGGCCGTGCATTTCTTCTCATTCATATTGCAAGTGATGAGCAGTCCTTGCATCCCCACCTCCAGCTCCCTGCTCCCGCGGTGTTTCTTGGCCGCATGGCTCACGAACGCGCTCTTGTTTCTTTTCTTCGCCCTAGGCTCTGTTGCCATTGCTGTTCCCAAATAAAATGCTGACATTAGCAACTGGGGACTGCAATTTGAAACATGTGCAAAAGCAACCTGGCATGCTACACGTGTGAGTATTTTAACTGCATCATTTGTATGCACTGTACACAATAAATAACCCCAAAACACACTTACGAGTTCCGGTCCAAATCCCCACTAATTCTAAAGGACTCCTCCTTTCAACATCATTAAGCTGCGACACGGCAATGTAGAGCCTGCTGCTGGGTCCTAGTGCTAAAGGAAATCATTACAATTTGCCAATCGTTCAGGTTGATATTTTCTGAGATGTCCAGAATTTTCCAAACCGAAAGCAAAATGCAAAGAGATAGTAGGAACTGCAGATGCTGGAAAATCTGAGATAACAAGGTGTACAGCTGG